GGACTGGTCAGTGAAGACTCCCCTGAGAAGAATGATTGATCCAGGCAGGTGAGGAGGCAGGGAGGAGCCTTCAGGTGATGGGTGGGATGGCACTTGAGGTATTTGAGGAATGGGCCATTGTGACAGGCCACGTGTATGACCCAGTGAGTGACAAGAGATGACTTGGGAGATGTCACTGGAGGATTTAAAGCAGGCTTGTATTTAAAAAGAGCACTTTTGCTGCTGTGTTCACATTTAGGTTAGAGGTGGGTAGGACGCTGTTGTGATTCAGATGAGAGATGCTGGTGACCTGGCCTCGCTGGTGGTGGGAAATGAAAGAGAAGTGAATGGACTTGAGAGATTTAAGGAGTGAATCAATAGGACACTGATGGATGGGTGCAGAGTGCACAGGGGCAGGTGAGGCACGACCCAGAGGTTTGTAGCCAGGAGGTGGGTGGCATTGTCACTTACTAAGTGGGGAAACACCAGGAAATGATTGGATTTAGGGGGAAGGAAAAGGGCAAGCTCTAGTTTTGGGTAGACTGATTTTGATGGCCTGTTAGACAAGCAAGCAGAAATGCCAGTATTCATTCAGTTTGCATGAGCTTAGAGGTGAGGTTTCTGGGACGAAGACAGAGTTGAATATGATTGGCATGTAGCTGTTGATTGAAGCTATGTGAGTGGTTGATGTCTCTACAGAGAAGCATGCAGCGGGGGACGGGGGTCTTGGACAGTGCTCTGGGAAAGCCAGGACATGAAAGTGCCCCCTGCAGGTGGCAGTGTTTGGAGTTCTTGGGGACGAAGTGGGGTAGAACCTAGAAGGGGCTGTTTTGAGGGAGGTGAGGAAGTAGAGACAAGTCTTAAAGAATAGTATGGAAAACTTCAAACATACTGTGTTAGTTTCCTATTGCTGCCATAACAAATTACCATGGACTTAGCGGCTTAAATAATACAAATGTATTATCTTACAGTTCTGGAGGTCAGAAATAGGTATCTGTGAGCTACCGTGAAGGCGGTGCAGGCCCGCGCTTTACCTGGAGACTCTGTTTTCTTATCTTTAAAGCTTCTAGAGGCTGCCTGTGTCCCTTGACTCCTGGCCCTCTTCCTCCATCATCCAAGTTAGCAAAGTTGATCACATGTTGCGTCACTCTGATCTATTGTTCTGCTTCTTCTGTGCCCTACTCTTAAGGATGCTTGTGATTACATTAATAATCCAGGACAATCCCCCTGGATTCAAGGCCAGCTGATGAAGTCCATCTATAACCAGAATTTCCCTTTGCCATGAGGCAATGTGTTCCCAGGTTCTGGGGATTAGGACATGGACGCCTTTGGGAGACCATTACTCTGCCTGTACACATATATGTAAAAGTGTAAGCAGAATAGTACATTGAGTCCTACACACTCACCACTCATCTCCAACACAGTTTTATCCCTACCTCCCACAATCTCCCCACTTCAACATTGGATTATTTGAAACAAATGTTAGAAATCATGTGATGTTTCACAATAGACAGTTTAAAGATGTTTAGCTGTGAAGGGGAGGTGGAAAGAGGGTGGTAACTAGTGGAGATGTGTAGGAGAGTATGTATGCATGTATTTTTAATAGGACAGACACTTAAGCATGTTAAATTCTGATGGGAAGGACTTACTAGTGGAGGAGAGATTGGCCTTGGACAAGAGAGAGATCTCCATCATTAACAGGAGAGGCACATAGGTTTGAAGGTTTGGGGTGCAAAACGAAAGGAGTTCCTTTCTGGTGGTTTAAATTTCTTTTTTTTTTTTNTGGGGTGGGGGGTGAATAAGGCCACTTACTCGTTTATGGAGATCTAAATTTATTAATAGCTTTATTTATGTTCACTTTGAATGTTAATTCATGAAAGTTCCAGCTTATCTTTAAAAACAGGTTTGTCTCCTATTACATAACTGTGTCCAACTAGATTAAAATATGTAAAAATAGGAAATGTTCTGTCTTAGCATACGTAGAAATGGCATGCTAAGTACGGTGCAGCATCTGCCTGGCTCTTGGGTACACGACACACAAGCCAACAACCAATCCTGAGAATATGTTCGTGTTCTATTTTAATCTCATATAGCATTTTTTAAATCTGTGATGTTAATCTTGTTATTTCCTTAAATTTTTTTTTTTTTTTTTTTTTTTTTTTTTTTTTTTTACTGTTGAGTGGCAGGCCAGTGAGAAGGACAAAAGGGATGTTGAAATTTTGAGGAGCTCTGGGAAAATTGGAAATAATCATTGTGGAGTGGAGAATGAGTGCAATAGAGAAACATTGTTAGCAGGACATGTTGAGGGCCACTTGAATTTGGTGGATTCTAGGGAATCCAGTGAACTTGGTTCTGTGACATGTCCCCCTAGCATTGCACATCTGTCTGGGTGTATGTTCAGAGAAGGTGGTTAATTTGGTTCTTACAGGGTTGTTTTTTTGCCAGGTGGTCTGACCAAAGGACAGGTCAAGGGTGTTTATAAGAGCACTTGAAGTCCTGATCCACAGACTGTAAGCGGAATCGGAAAGTAGAGAAGTAAGAGGTCCTGGGGAGATGTACGGATAGCTGTGTTGGGATGCTTTAGGAAGCCAGCAGGCAGAACTGAGCCTGGGGAGCTTTTAGGGTGTCAGCAGACCCAGGGTATGTCTTCGCAAGTGGGTAGCTGAAGTGGAGTGGAACAAAAGACAGTTGGCAAAGAGGACATCAGGTTGTTGAGAGAGCAGGGTTTGGGAAGACCCCTCCACATGGGTGTCAAAACCACCCAGGATGTTGGCAGGAGATGGGATTGTAAAGGTAAGTCTCTTGTGAGTGGGGGTCAGCCAAGAAAAGGAGAAAGGAAGGGCTTTGTCCAGTGCTGGGAGGCATAGGCCACAGAAGGGCAGATGTTCTGCCCAGGTGTTTCTCTTAAATGCTGACCTCTGGGTCACTGTCCTTAGTACGAGTCATCACCCCAACTCCCCCTCCAATAGGAAAATATTAAGGTAGGTAGAAAAAAGCAGACTCAACCCAAGCATTCCCCAATAGCAAAACTCATGGATTAATGTGAATATATGGCTACCTCGTAAAGATTTAATGAGATTTGTCTTCATGTGCTATACTTTTATATCTGACATTGCCTCTGGGCTCAAAGCCATATAGTCTAATGTTGCTGCAAAAATGGCTATGGGTGTATTTAATATGGATTATTCACATTGATTTATGATTGAAACATGGCTTTATTGAAAATTTTAGTGATTTCTGTCTATACCATAAAATCCAGCTGTAATAGGATACGTGTTAATTGAGGTTCAGCCTTGTATATGGGGTTGCATTACTGTGAAGGCAGTGAAAACCAGACACACACACACAAACACACACACACACACACGCATGAAAAGGTAGCGAAACTTGTACACACAGATGACTACTGAATTCAAAGTCTCAGATGACGGGTAAAGGAATTTAAATTAATGGAACAGTATGTGTACCTAGGAAACAAGTGAAAACAGAGGATATTATGATAAGGGGATGGAATGTGCTATTTCTGCTGTGGTTATCTTTGCTTAGAATTGGGGTTTTTTTTGCATTTAATGTTGCTTGTTGACACATGACCATTTTGACTGGTTCTCAGCCTACTTTTTGGCCATTTCTTCCTGTGACGGGAGATGCTAATTATATGATTCCAAAGTAAGTAGCAGCTGCAGGATTTTTATAAAATATAACAGGCTCTCTTTCTTTTTAAAATACCTATCTCCCAAATCTTTGCGATTTTGCAAGCTGTGTGTCTTCCGTGATAGCCTGAGAACTTGAGAAGGCTGTAGGATAGAGCCACGGTTCACAGGGAGCCTGATCCTACCTGACCCCCAAACTACTTACCTCATCCAACTGAACTTCGGTCAGTTTTTCTAATGCCAGCAGGCTCTTTCAGGCTGTGGGGAGGAATGACAATCAGTGTGGTATTGCCGGTGACCACTGGGCCCTTAGTGGAGCTCAGTACATGGTTTTGTTTGATACGATTGCTCTGCATAGCATCTGGGTAAGATCGTGGGCTCCCAAGTCTGACCCCTGGGTTCAAGTCCAAGCTCTGCTCTTGCTGGGGGTGGTCCTCGGACACATTCTCAACCCTTCTGAGCCTTACGTTTCTGTTTGTCAAATGGGGATTATAATAGTACTTACCGTATAGGGTTGTTGTGAGACCCAATAGCACAGTCTGTGGCACACTGCAGGGGTACCCAGTAACTGTTATTTATCCTCGGGTTGGGGGGTTAAACTTGGGTTCACCTGGCTTAACAATTTGATGCATTTGGGAATTGTTAGGTTTTAAATCGCTTTTTCCGCTTATCACAATATTCTTTGGACATTTCACTTTCTCAGTAAGGCTTTCCCTGGCCACCCTAATAAAGCTGCAGCTGTCCACCTTCTCCCCACCCCCTGACCCCGCCCCCATGTCTCTTCTTCACCCCCTGCTCCCTGCAGTCCCCACACTCATGTCCTACTTTATTTTTCTCCACTGCACTTATCACCTTCCATCCAGTGCACTTGATTTTTCTTGCAGGCTGTCTGCATCCACTAAAATGTGAACTCCATAAGAGCAGACAGACATGTCTGTTTTGTCCTCTCTGTTATTTTCAGAGCCTAGAGTAGTGCCTGGCACATAGTGGCTGTATGACAAATCTTTATCAGAATGAAGACATTGACTTTGAAAGTGAAGATATGATTGTATAAAAGCTGCTACCGCTATCTGAGCTTAGAATGTTTTATTCAGAAGCCCTTAATGATAGTCTGCTCATTTGCCTATCTCAAACCTCCTTTCCCAGTGGAAGATACTTAAAGCCAGGTAGGACAGGTTTGAGGGGATGATTAAGTTGGAAGAGGAGAGGATTTATGGCTGGTTTACTCTGACACCTTTTCTTTTAGCGTGAACATCGCCAAACACCGAGCGACCAGGGGGTATGCTTGTCTCAAGTGGCCTCTTTCAAGTACCATTTAACTTTCTTGATTATTTTACATGCGAAAGAGCTTTTATTATTTTTCTCTTTTAGGGCACCAATGCCTCTGCTCTGGAAAAAGACATTGGTCCAGAGCAGTTTCCAATCAATGAACACTACTTCGGATTGGTCAATGTAAGTATTTAAAAATGTATTCTTTTTATCAAATGTTTTAGCATACTCCACTGCCATTTTCATCATTACCATTTTTAGATAATTATTCATGTTCTTTAGTTACTAGAAGTGGCAGATATTGGGGTCAGGGAAATTTAGTCCAGTTTTTGAAAGTATGAGCTATCTCAGAATAAAGGGTTGAATTAATTGCATTATTGGGTCAGATTTTCATCGCCCCCCCCTCCTTTCTTTTAAGGGAGTTTCTTTGCACACATAACTTTCAGTGATTTTATTAGCCTTTGTAACTAAATCTGCTTTCACAAGGTGTGATCAAACAATATGGTGAATGTTTAAATTTAAAAAAAAATTTATTACAGTAAGACACATTGTCATTAATACCCCTCAAAATACCCTCCCCCGCCTCGCTTCAAACACACTTATCCCATCGTTCTTGCCACTTTTTGAAGCAGTTCTGGAAGTCCTCTTCTGTGAGTGTCTTTAGTTGCACTGTTGTGGCTGCCTCGATGTCCTGAATCATTTTGATTTTGGGGAAGAACCGGAAGTCGCTCCATGCCAGATCCAGTGAATAAGGTGGATGAGGACACAATCTAATGTTTTTATTTGACAGAAATTGCCATATACCAGAAGCAATCTGTGACACAGAGCGTTGTTATGATGAAGGATGTTTTACAGCACACTTTAAAACACACCTTCTCTCAACCATAGCTAACACCTGATTGCACCAAACAAGTCGAAACTTGTCACACACTGTTACTAAGGTTCAATGCGATGCTTCCCGTATTGAAGACCCCTGCCTTTCCGTTGGATGGCACTTGCCTATAGCATTCACTGTATTTTGTGATCACAACGGAAAGGCTCCGTGTCACACATCGCTTCTGGTACAGCCATTTCTGTCAAATACAAACATTACGGTGTGTCCTCATCCACGTAAGTCACCGAATCTTGCACCATGTGACTTCTGGCTCTTCCTCAAAGTCAAAATGACCATGAAAGATAAACGCTTTGAATCGACTCAGGACATCGAGGGAGCCATGACAACGCAACTAAAGACACACACGAAAGAGGACTTTCAGAACCGCTTCAGAAAGTGGCAAAAACGATGAGCTAAGTGGTTCGAAGTGAGGGTGGGTATTTTGAGGTAGATTAGTGGCAATGTGTCTTTTACTGTAATAATTTTTTTTTATTTAAACAGTAACTGTATATTTTGATCACACCTGGTATATGCTCTCCCTTTATCCTCTGAATGAACTTCTCCAGCAGTCTTTGTTTCAATATGAATCAGTACAACCAGAATTGTAAAAGTGTTACCAGCATATCACCAGTAACTGTTTAACAGCATAACTTGGTTGGTGGTACCTGAAGCAAGGGTGGGGTGTGAAAAACTGGAACCAGTTTGTCTCAGAATTTCCTGGCCTCGTTTTACTGTGCTCAGCAATGGCTCCCTTGTATATGGCCAGACTTAACCAGACTCTACGTCCTTGGTAAGTGGATTATGACCAAGTAGTGAGGCAGTATCGCCCACTGCCCTCATGAGCTTTCTTTCTCACCTGAACCTTTCTCTCTGGAGTGGAGGTTTTAAGTGACACCAAGTGTTAACTCATAAGCACCTGGTTTTCTGGAACAATTGCTCTGCAACATAGTTTGTCAGTGCCCAGGTGTGATAGATAGTAATTTCCACTGGGGAAGCTGGAAATATTCTCTGCGTGAACGCTGCCTGTGATATAATGGAAAGAATATTGGCTTCAAAGTAATACAGACCTAAGTCTGAGTTCTGCCTATGCTATTCACTAGCTATGTGAGCTTGGGCAAGTCCCTTGACCTCTCTGAACCTCCTTTACCCCATCTGTAAAATGGAGATCATAGTGGTTTCTACCTCCTGGCTTATAGTGAAGGACCAATCAGAGTTCCATTTGAAGACCTTGACATGAGGCTGAGGTGCATTGTGGACACTCAGTGAATGTTAGTCCTTTTTCTTTCCCAGGAGTTGTCCATTGGATCAGGACCGAGAACTGTTGAAGGGTGTCTGGGTAAAGGCAAGACACTGAGTAAAAGAGAAAAGAAGGGAAGAAGGAAGGCTGAAATACTGGAATATAGGGCATTGTGTTGATGAACTACTGATTTCTAATTTTAATACAAGTTTTTTTAGCCATTGTGCACAGGCCACTGCTGAA